TTGTGTCCCATAGTGTGTATAAAATATAAGACAGTGTCTTATTTTCGGGGAAACATGGTATATACTGCAAAAGTTAGACAATCTGAACTAAGCTCTTGTAGGAATACAACACATTTCTGAAATATTAATGTATTTAAAGTTAGGTAATCTCTGACTGGAAAAGGGTTCCTTTACTTTGAATCCTATGTCCAGCAAAAACAGTTTTTCTATTTGTTTTGGATGAACTGGAGAAGTGTTCCTTCACTTCCTGTCCCATAGCCAAAATAGGAATTGAGAAGAAATTCCTCCAATGTGAGGGAATCTCAGTATGTCACCAGAACTAGTGCACCCACTGGAAGATTTTCCCCTCTATTAAGTGGGGTACACACTACAAGAAAATTAGACAATCGTTTGATTTTCCACAATCATGATGTAACCGACAATGGTATTAACTTGTATGAAAATTCTCGAATGACAAAAGGCAAACATTCTTTCTTTCCCTTGCCACCTTTTACCAGATCATTCTTTGCTTCTGATTATGTGCATTTTTTTCTCTTCGATCATTTCCGTTCGATTACTGTACACACTGAGCGAAAATCATACATTGTGTTCACGTACCATAAAAATTTCCTAGTTTGCACCTTCCTTTTTTCGTCTGAACAGCTGGAATCGGTTGTAGAGAGCACTATACTAACGATCAAATAATCAATTGATTGTTCCTCATACAGACATGTTCATACGATTTTCTTATAGTGTGTACTCAGCTTCACTGTTCTGTTGTCAACCGAAAGTTTGGAATTTTCTTTTACTTTCCCTTTCAATTATAAAAAGTAAAACAGGACAAATAGAGAGGGTGAATCTTCCTAACGGGCACAAAAAGCAATAAAAACTGACAGGTGTTGTAATCCCTCTCCACTCTATTCAAAACTAAAAATAGGGTTGATTATGGCAAAGAAAGCACCTCAGACCCCAATATAAAACAAACCTAACAAAGTGCAATTTGTAAATATTTTTTAAAAGTAAACAATGTGAATGGCAACATGTAACAAATATAAATTAGGTATTATTCCAACTTGACTGTTAAAGTGGACATAGACCTTATTATAACTTGCATGACTTTTAAATATACAGTTTCCCCTAAAATAAGACCTACCCCGAAAATAAGACCTAGTGCTATTTTTGGGAATTGCTAAAGTATTAGACCTACCCCGAAAATGAGACCTAGTTGTGATCATGGCTTTTTTTCAGCCGGAACGCCATTCTGTCACCAACCTTGTGCACACCCATATCTACTGTCTCTTATAAACACAGAAGCACGGCTGAAGTGACAGCACCATCCGCTCCCACAGAACCTCCCTACCACTGTACTCACTGTGGGACAGGGAAGGAACAGATATCTGCGGGCGCAGTGTGTTTAGGGGTGGGGCATTTCCTCCTGCAGCCTAATGCATGGAAGCCGATACCCAGGGGTGATGACCGGCCAGTGGGGAAGAGGCGGAGCGGTAAGTGCGCATGGTGCACTGTGTGGGAAGATAGGACCCGAAACGGGAGTTACTATAGAGAGGGGCCGACTGCTGACAGCTGTGTTTTGCAAAATTAGCTAACCATATGAGAGCAGTGGAGGGGGGGGATGTGCAAAGGTGAGCTGCAGTCAGGTGTTGCAGAGGTAAATTGAGTCAGGTGAGTTGCAGACAGGGTGCATAGGTGAGCCAAGTTGCAACCCATCTTTGCACCCCCCAGCCACAGCTCAGCTCTGCATTCCCCGTCTGCAACTCACCCCTTTACCCTGTCTATGGCTCATACCTGCACCCTGTCTGAAACTCACCTGTCAAGTCACCCCTGCAACACCTGACTGCAGCTCACAACTGTCATCAGTTGGCCCTCTCCATAGTAACCTTCATCCACAACTGCCTGCAGCTCACCTCTGCACCCCCTGTCCACACCTTGACATTAAAAAAATAGGACCTACCCCGAAAATAAGACCTAGTATGTTTTTTTTTTTTACCCCAAAAAAATATAAGACAGTGTCTTATTTTCGGGGAAACATGGTATATACTGCAAAAGTTAGACAATCTGAACTAAGCTCTTGTAGTAATACAACACATTTCTGAAATATTAATGTATTTAAATTTAGGTAATCTCTGACTGGAAAAGGGTTCCTTTACTTTGAATCCTATGTCCAGCAAAAACAGTTTTTCTATTTGTTTTGGATGAACTGGAGAAGTGTTAGAACCACTGTCAAATTTTTACTGCTATCTGGGGCTCTCTGAGTGATTTCATCTTAAAGCGTTACTAAACTCACAACAGTTAAATCAGTCTGTATATGCAGTAAAGCATGCTTGTTATACTAACCTAAGAGGTTAATCCTCTACATTGTGTAAAAAGGATGGTTGATCCTGTCTTCTTTGATCTTCCCCTTCTACTGCTCCAATCCATTTCCTGATAGAACAGAGCCTTGGGGCAAGTTGCATAGGCTCAGTTTGGTGTGTAATGCTAGTTTTTTGGTTTTTTTTTTTTTTTTTTGGGAGAGTGCATGTGATCAGCACAGGGCCAATGAGCACTGTCCAGAAAAAGGATCAGGGATCCTGCAGCCTTCATAGAGCAGTCAGAACTGAAAGAAAAACTCCAAGTTTTAACCAGTGCCCTGCTGGACACTGATAGAAGTGACAAGACTGCTCTAACTGCTCATGAGAAAAGGTCTTTAGCAGTTTATATTTACTAAAATAATTTCATTTCCATGTTCTGTGTACTGTGGGAACCAGATAGAGCGAATGCAGGGTCCTGGGTTTAGTAACACTAATTCCTGTCCTGATGACAACAGTTTACCAGATATAAAAAGGTCAGCAGGACAGCAAGATAAGATAAAACTCTGATTCCAAGATAGCAGTAATAAACTGAAATGAGTTCTAATACTTCCATGCAAGTTTTTGGCTCGACACAGACACACTTCTTTAAAGCAATATTTAAAAAAAAAAAAAACACAAACACTATGACAAACAAATTATTATGAACTGCTAATGAAATATTTTTATTGTTACACAAAATACCATATTAACAGAAGTACTCAGGAAACTGCAGGGTATGCAAACTCTGCATACCCTGAAGACACCGGCAAACTATATAGTGGAAGTCAACGTATTTCAGACTTAGAATTTCCTTTGTTTTCAGTGGGTCAGTTACATTTTAGCAGAGTTACCCTGATGATTAAAAATTGTGGACTGATTATAAGAGACAAAAACAAACCAAAATCCTTTATACTTCGATTGGCCAAAGGTTACCAAAATCCCACATTTATTGGCTTCTAAAAAGAACCTGGCACAGAGGTATGTAGGTAAGAATTGTCTGCCAAGCAATACATTTTGCCAGCCAAAAATTTAGTCCCAAGAAGCAGAAAAGATGAAACTTGCTTCATTTATAATGTAATCCTTAATAGAACTCCAGGTTAAACAAAAACGTTCTGATGGAGGAGCTAATATCTAAATAAAACAATTTTGCTTCCGTTTCTGAAGCTGGGAGGGCTGAAAAATTCTGAATGAACCTATCCCCTTACCAGACAGTCAGTTATGGTTTAAAGTAAACCTATCAGGAGACAGGAAAAAAATGAAAAAAAAAAAAAAAAAAATAAGGGTCCAGAAACAACAAATCTAAGGAATCAGGAAAACAAAACAACTTTCCTTTATAAAACATCATGAACCAATACTTGGCTTAAATATATTTACATTGACAGGATTGGAGGAGAGGAAAAAAAAACCCACCAAAATACTGACTGCATCAAAAAAAAAAAAAAAAGGACGGAGACCCATCCTTGTGTAAAAATGTAGAAAAAAAAAGAAAACAAAACAGATGTCTTATTTTGTCTATGGTGGTTTTCATCTTATTCCTGGCTGGTGAGAAAAAGCCTATGTGCAAGGATTTGGCACTGGTAGAAGGAAACAGCCATGTTTCATAGTCATCTCTGGTGGAATGCAGTAAACAAAGTAATATTGATAAAAGTGAATTACTTTAACATATTATCTTTCTATCTTTCTGTTATTTAAACATAAAAAAATGCACTGGCAGTAGATAACTATGGTGCCATGAAAAAAATAATGTTTCCAAGAAAAATGTTTTTAGAAAGTTTAAAAGGATGTAATATGCGGCATGTTATTGTCACTCAGCTCACAAATGAGAGCATAGCCGACACATAGGGTACAATTCTCCATCTCAAAAAAAAAAAAAAAAAAAAAAAAAAAAAATTGGGAAAAGGCAAATAGAAGACATGAATAGTTTAGCAGATGTGGGATCAGAAATGTGTATCATTCATCTCTGATTTAAAATTGGGTAAGGTGTGCTCAGATCTGAAGAGTCATTTAGAGATGACCACACCACTTCATTCAGTGCATTCATTAGTTAAGAGGAGGCCATATCTGGAAGACAAAAGAAAAATAAGATCACCTACCATAATAAATGTCAAACATAAAGAGAAAAAAAAAAAAAATCTGTCTGTATGTCATTTTAGCTATATAGTTTTGTCTCTATGTATATATTTCTTTGATGGAACTCCAAATAGCAGTAGAATATCAACAGGATTGTAACCATTCCATACTTCATCCAAAACCAAAAGAAGAAAAAAAAAAAAAAAAAAAAAAAAAAATTGGCTGGACCCGCACTTTAATTACTTATTTAAACTGTGGATCTACATAAACAACTTCCACTCATGACTGAGTATGAGGCAGTTTCACCTATGATGCCGTTATAATTGGCTGGACCAGCACTGTCAGATTCTGTTAGAGATTTGAGCTTGCAGTTTGCTGACAGTGAGGTAGTGTGTGATTTTTTTCATGAGAAACATTTCATACACATATCTACCAAATAACATTTGCATTATTTATAAAATAGTCCTTCACACAGCAATTGTTGGCAAAATGTTTTTTTTTTCCTTTTTAAAAAAGCAGACTAAAAACAGAGCAGAAATTACGTTAATCTACTAAACTAAAAAAGTTACTGACAACGCAATAGGTATTTTACTGACCTTAAAATGGTTATGCCTGCACATCAACTAGTTCTGGAGGCATCGGAGACTTAGGATGTTTGCTTTCAAAGTGCTGCTTGAACGTTTTAGGGTCTGGCATCTGTGTCTAAATTTGAATGAAGATACATTTAAAATGGAAAACCAATAAAAAGAAATGATAGCACCAATACAACAAATTACTGTGTTCCCTTTAAAAAGGGCCCCTTCACACTAGAACGTGGAGCTGGAAACCTGCGTTTCTAGCGCCGCATTCAAAATGCACCGCAGATGCGATTTGCAGCGGATGTCAATAAGTTAACACTCCAAACTCAGGTCACAAACTTGCACTTTTGTACCATGCAGTTCATTTGCAGTGCATGCACTACTTTCGGTGCAGTGTGTTTTCAGCCAATTCAAGATGAATGGGCTGAAATCGCACTGCACAAAACTGCATGTGATTCGCACAGGAATGCACAGTGCCTTCCCTCAAAAGTTTCATTCAGATGGGCCAAAAAGCACATAAGAAAGTCGTCTATCATTATGGCATACACTAAATTAGAAGAAAAGGTAATGTCTAAATCAGGGGTCCTCAAACTCTTTAAACAGGGGGCCAGTTCACTGTCCATCAGACCGTTGGAGGGCCGGACTATAATTTAAAAAAAAAAAACTATGAACAAATGCGGATTTGTGTGTCTTATGAAGCAAAATATACGGTAAATGCAGGACACCTTGTTGGGTCAGATCTGTGTACAACGTAGAGAGAGAGAGAGGGGGGGGAGAGAGAGAGAGGGGGGGGAGAGAGAGAGAGAGGAGGGGGGAGAGAGAGGGAGGGGGGAGAGAGAGAGAGGGGGGGGGAGAGAGAGAGGAGGGGAGGGGGGAGAGAGAGAGGAGGGGGGAGAGAGAGAGAGAGAGAGAGGGGGGGGAGAGAGAGAGAGAGGGGGGGGGGGAGAGAGGGAGAGGGGGGGGGGAGGGGGAGAGAGGGGGGGGGGAGAGAGAGGGGGGGGAGAGAGGGGGGGGAGAGGGGGGGAGAGAGGAGGGGGGGGAGAGGGGGGGGAGAGAGAGGGGGGGGGAGAGAGGGGGGGGGAGAGAGAGGGGGGGGAGAGAGAGAGGGGGGGGAGAGAGAGGGGGGGGAGAGAGAGAGGGGGGAGAGAGAGAGGGGGGGAGAGAGAGAGGGGGGAGAGAGAGGGGGGGAGAGAGAGAGGGGGGAGAGAGAGGGGGGGAGAGAGAGGGGGGGGAGAGAGAGGGGGGGAGAGAGAGGGGGGGGAGAGGGGGAGAGGGGGGGGAGAGAGAGGGGGGGGGGAGAGGGGGGGAGAGAGGGGGGGGAGAGAGAGGGGGGGAGAGAGAGGAGGGGGGGAGAGAGGGGGGGGGAGAGAGGGGGGGGAGAGAGAAAGGGGGGGAGAGAGGGGGGGAGGAGAAAGGGGGGGAGAGAGGGGGGGGGAGAGAGAGGGGGGGGGAGGGGGGGGGGGGGGGAGAGAGAGAGGGGGGGAGAGAGAGGGGGGGGGAGAGAGAGGGGGGGAGGGGGGGGAGAGGAGGAGGGGGAGAGAGGGGGGAGAGAGGAGGGGGAGAGAGGGGGAGAGGGGGGGGGGAGAGAGGGGGGGAGAGAGAGGGGGGAGGGAGAGAGGGGAGGAGGGGGAGAGAGTGGGAGGGAGGGGGGAGAGAAAGGGAGAGGGGAGGGAGAGAAAGGGGAGGGGGGGGAGGGAGAGAAAGGGGAGGGGGGAGGGAGAGAAAGGGGGGGGAGGGGGGGGAGGGGAGAGAGGGGAGGGGGAAGGGGGAGAGAGGGAGGGGGAGGGGGGAGAGAGGAGGGAGAGGAGGGAGGGGGGGGGAGAGAGGGGAGGGGGAGAGGAGGGAGGGGGAGAGAGAGGGGAGGGGGGAGGGGGGGGGGGGAGAGAGAGAGGGGGGGGAGAGAGGGGGGGGAGAGAGAGGGGGGGGGAGGAGAGGGGGGGGAGAGAGGGGGGGAGAGAGGGGGGGGGGAGAGAGGGGGGGGAGAGAGGGGGGGGAGAGAGGGGGGGGAGAGGGGGGGGGGAGAGAGGGGGGGGAGAGGGAGGGGGGAGAGAGAGAGGGGGGAGAGAGAGGGGGGAGAGAGAGAGGGGGGAGGGGGAAGAGAGGGGGGAGGGGGAAAGAGAGGGGGGGGAGAGAGAGAGGAGGGAGGGGGCCGTGACGGTTGCATGCACTGATCAGAATAGATGGCTGGCTGGCTGCAGAGAGGCCAGGTGAGTGGTGCAGGTTCATAAGCCGGGCCGACCTTCCCGTTCTAGAATTGCTGATCCCGCCCCCCTGCCTCCCGCCCAAGCCCTGCCAAGCTCTCCCGACCTGCTAAACCCTGGTCCCTTGCCTCGTGGCAGATACGCCCCTGCCCGGCGGGCCGGATAAATGGCCGCATGTGGCCCGCGGGCCGTAGTTTGAGGACCCCTGGTCTAAATGAAATCGCACCTCTATCACTGCTTTATTAATCTTATGTTGCTTAATGGTACATAAAAGTTGCCCCCACTCCTCCAAAAAAAAAAAAAAAAATCCCTATTACGTTTCTCTTTGGTCATGTGAATGTTACCCTCAAAGCTGGTTCTGTTAGTGAGTGGCGTGCAATCTTTGGACACACCACTGTTGGAGCCAAACAGAATAACCACGTATGTGCACTAGAGAAGGCCTTCAGGCATACCCAGAGAACATATCTAATAACTAATAAACTAGTGCAGCTTTCAGGTGCCAACAATAATTTGGGGATTAGCGGTTTCAGTAGCAGTGAACAGCGTTGTTGGCCATGCACTGGAAAATCGAGTTATAAATCAGGGAAATGGCAGGATCACCAAGTAATACATCATTAAAAATACAGAGAATTAAAAAAAAATAAATAGGCATATTATGAATGTCTATATTTGGAATACTAGCAAAAGGTTTTTAAAATATGATAGCCATCAATTTTCTCACTGCAGAAGAGACCTCTCATACACACAAAGCAGTTCAGTGCTGTAGTGTTCTTCCTTTGTCCCAAAACACACAAAGCGGTCAAAGAATTGCAACACCCACATAAGCTACACATGTAATGGTACATCTTTTACAGATGAATGCAGGAGGTCATGCATGTGATCATCTGCAACAAAAGCATCAAATGCCTTCCTCTTGCAAGCCTATCTACTCTCAGAATTACAATGGAAACATGTACCTCTAGGGCAGTTTAAACAAAATATCAAAATTTGCAATGCATTTATATATCACACATTTAAATAAAAATAAATATCTCCAGTGAGTTACCAATAACAGTATTTCTAGGATTTCTAAAATAGCAACATGAGAGATGAATGTGTTTCCTGCAGAGAAAAGAACCAAACAGAACAATGAAAAATCCCTCCTACCCCCTCATCTATCAGTTAAGGTAAAAGTAGAATCTCTCCCTCAGTGCACAAGGGAAAAATGAAAAAAAAAACACTTAAAGGGTGGGAAGGAGGCTTGCTGTCCTGGAAGATTTCAAGAAATACTTTACCATTAAAACTCATTGGAGGGTTTCGACAATCATCTTCCAGGACAGCAATGTGTGGGGAAAGCCAAGTGACAGAAGCCTACCCCAGGGTAGGATCTTTCTGCTAAATGCCAGGTCTTGTGCAAGAGTCGCCACTCTATAGTGGGTGGGGAACGTATCCTAACTTGACCAAAAGGCTGCTTCACAGATCTGTTCCTCTGAAGTGCCTATTTTTTTCTGGCCGTAATGTTGTTAAGTATTTCAGTAGAATGTGACTTTAGTGAAGGCGGCATCTGAAACTTGTCTTTATATACACAAAAATAATCTGCTTAAAATTACCTGGAAACTGTACATTTTGGGGCCTGTAAGTCCTTTTTAGGGACAATAAAAATTAGAAGATGGTTTGAGCTTCAAAAAAAAAAAAAAAAAAAAAAAAAAAACTTTTGTGATATTTAGATTTTTTCCTAAGACATCTACGTACATTCAGGCACTAGAAGGTTTTTTTTACCTTTTGCCACAAAAGGAAGGCAGCACAATGTTCTGTGAATTCTGTGAAACACCATAGCTAAAATTAGCAAAGGCATCAAACCTGGTCTTAGCATAACTTTACGTGGGAAAATTGTAAGGTAGGACTGACTGGCATGGCTTAAAGATCCCCTATGCTTCTGGATGTCAGAAAGGCTAAAAAAAAAAAAAAACAGTTAACTTTTTTGTTAACCAGGCCAATTTTAACATTTCACACATACATGTAAAAATCTGCATTTTTTGCTAGATAATTACTTAGAATCCTCAAACAATATAAATTTGCAGAAAGAAAAGTCCCTGGATAATAAAATGGTGTGAAGCTGTGGAGTGGCAACAAAATATGGTACCTGAAAAAATTCCATAAGCGTTGCTTTAAAAGCCTTTACAGGTTACCAGTTTATAGTTGCACAGGAGACTTGTGAACTGTTCTATGATCACTACAACTCCAATAGTCCAGGTCCAAAGCCCATCTTAAGAGTGAGCAAGAGAGGGTGGCTATGTTTTCAGATACAGTGGGACCATGGAGAACAAGCATATCCACCCTAAAACAGGAAAGTTGGATCACAACAGCAAAAAAAAAAACAAAAAACTGAATCTGGAGATTTGGAGGAGGCTGAAAACAATAGAAAGTACTTTTTTGAGTCAAGAATACATGCTTGAATTTGATTATTTTTTGAAACCAGAGTTTAGTGTCACTTTAGGGTCCTTAGACAAATTCCAAGGAAGAATAATCATCTGCCATTACCCATGGCAAACGTTACTGAGGCAGCTTGGGCAGAACTACTGCGTTCTGCCAGCTTAACCACAAACCTAAAAGGCAGACTTGAACAGGAAGACAAACTATTAAATCTATTATTTATTTATCAGAGTTTGTCAAATACACTGCTCAAAAAAATGAAAGGAACACTTTGAAAACACATCAGATCTCAATGGGGAAATATATCATGCTGGATATCTATACGGATATGGACTGGGTAGTGTGTTAGGAACGTAAAGATGCCCCATCGTTTGATGGAAATGAAAATTATCAACCTACAGAGGACTGAAATCAAAGACATCCCGAAAATCAAAGTGAAAAAATGATACAGCAGGCTAGTCCAATTTGCTGAAATTTCATTGCAGCAACTCAAAATGGTACTCAGTAGGTT